GATCCAGTCAAGAGTGAGGATGGAGTTGCTGCTGCCAATGATATTGGTTCGTGGTAGCGCTAAAATCATGAACTGGTAGAAGTTGGAATTCATGGGCTGGCTGTTGAATCGAGTCCCAGTGGCTGGATGGTAATCCAAGCTAGCTGGCCTTGTAACCAGAAAGTTCTGTGTTCGAACCCTGTCAGTGGGTTCTTACTGCCCATAAGACCCAAACTAGGACGAAACAGCTGGCTGTCCAGTACTCCCTGGTTGTCAAACTGACATCAGTCCATGGTTGAACCTGAAACAAATAGATTCCACACAAACTAATTCTTGGAAATGATTGTAGCGAAAAAACTCCTTATACGATTTCAGATGTTTGTCAATGATAAGATCATTCAGATGGATCATAGACAGACACACCACAAACCCAGAGGAAAGATCCGGATGGAACAGTGAAGAAGAAGAAGAAGAACAGAAATACAAAAATCAATACATTTCATCAAGAGAAATTATTTATAAATACTAAATCTAGTGCTGACAATTTTTTCTGTGACGAAATGATAATAAAAAGTAACAAACGTAAGAAATGCAAACTGTACAGAGTAGCAACAAAGAATTAATTACCCAAAATGGAAGCACACAATTCATAAGAAAAACAGTTAGGGACACTAAGGATATCTACAACATATGTGCATATGGAAATCTGTGTAATTAATTAAATTTTCAAGGATTGGTTTGCCAGGATTTTTGATTACTTACAGATTTGATCAGCAACTGATATTAATTGAAGAACCGTTGGAAAAACAAGGAGTACTCGACAGGTGTTTCATTCAAGTGTGAGACTCTTCATCAGCATGTACCCACCGATCCGCCTATTAAGCGGGCATGTGGACCATTTAGCCTCAGCCCGTGAATTTCAACTTATACCAGTTCGCAATATATATGGCGCAGCCACTAGTCACTGTAGTCTGAGAGTTAATTGTACTCTTGTCTGACTTGCTGGATACAACTACTCACTAGAACTCCAGATAACTTTCTGTGTTAAGGCAGTCGTCAGTGAGCATCAGATTAATTTTCAAGTTTTAGTCTACTGGGATTTAATTGGTAACGTTGGCTGGCCAATAAGATAAAGACCTAGTAGCTGTATGGTCTATATGAGCTCGCTTTGTAACCAGAGAGTTCTGAGTTTGAACCCTGGTGGTGGGTGCGTACTGCTACTGAAGAGTCTCAAATTAGGAAGAAACGTCTGTCCAACACTCCGGGATTTTCTAATGCCTCTCTGACTGATGTCAGCCTATGATCAAACCTATAATTAGTACTGCAATCCATACTGTCACTGAGGAGGATTCAGCATAAGTAATTAACCGTGTACATTATTTGGATTCACCCCCATGTTTGTAATTAGTGTGATCACACCATCATATCACAAAGAAATGACTGAAATTAGTTCATATTTTTCAATGAAAACCAGAAGTAGTAGGCTGTGATATTCTGTGGAGCAGGAATGGCTACAAAATCAAGTGTATTTTGGTGAAATGCATAGGATAGCAATTTCCAAACAGTCTAAAGGTCTTAACAAGTGACAATGAGAAGAAATATACAGGAAAATGTCATGAAATGTCACAGGTATGTTGAAACATTCACCTTTTTTCACAGAAACCTTTATTTAAATAGTGTTTATATGAAGGAAAGAATTTCTAGCAGGATTTATTATGTGATATTTTCTCTTGGTCTAGAATCTTCAAGTAAAATAGTAATTGACAGATCATATGACACAATGCTTTTCTATTATCTAACAACAAGTGAAAACTAATAATCCTTTATGATTTGTCTGCTTTACCTCCTTAGAGAAATATACATGACATTTTGGTTTAAAGCCGATTAAGAAACTTAATTGAATTTTAGATTTTCCCGTCGATTGATTGGACCGAAGTGCTTGGTGTCACGTTGACATGTCGGCTTCTTGTGAAGATGCTTCGACGATGTCCGGGCATTTAAATAATATATAATAATTTTTCCTTCACGTTCCCAGTGGAACATAGGACCTCAAGCTAGTGGCTTGAAGTTTCTGTAGCAGTGTTTAATGTTTACAGGATGGGGTTGCTAGCCTCCTGCCCAACCTTTCCTCTTTACCAGCATTTTTATTTCTGGCTCAGTGAGGTAAAGGAGTGCGCCGGCCGGGGTTCGAACCCCGGACCATGTGGATGGTCGGCGAGCGTCCTAACCGCTATACCACCGACGTCCGGGCATTTAATTGGTATTTATCTGATGGATGGTGACTAGCAGCGGAATCCAGGATAACGCGCATTTCGTCCTATTTGGGACTCGTCATCCAGATGTACCTGCATTCCGTAGTGAATGTTGATGTTCCCACCGAGGTTCGCACCCAGCGCCCATAGTTTCAAACGCCAAAGCGTTATCCACTATGAAACTATGGGCACTGGGTTCGAGCCTCGGTGGGAACATCAACATTCACTACGGAATGCAGGTACATCTGGATGACGAGTCCCAAATAGGACGAAATGCGCGTTATCCTGGATCCCGCTGCTAGTCACCATCCATCAATTAAATACCGATTAAGAAACGCTGAAGAGTAGATTTTTAAACGTAAGGGATATATAAGTGGACACTTAAAGACTACGGGTAGTTAGTATTATTTCTCCCAGGCAGTAACAGTTGATACCAAAAACTCTCAGGTATAGTAGTAGGATAAGTTGTCACTCATGATTATGCCTTTTTCTCAAGTGCAGCAGAATCGATATTGTAGTGGTGGTGTCTGCTTAATCATCACATATCCACATATAAGGATAAACTAAGTAACTAAGCAACAAGAAAGAATAAGTACTACTAAGAAAAAACTTCAAAAACAGTATATCAATCAAGTGAATGATATACAATTTTTATACACCACTAGGGAATATTATTATATATTTCATGCTCTACAAATTTATAAATCTATAAATATTAGGATACAAATAGTCAGTAAATGTGATTAAAACTTCTATCAGAAAGCATATTAATGTACAAGACAGAATAATAATCCGCTGTGTTAACATTGTCAAATGAACGCATACATAAAAGGTATAGTCATTCAGAATATGGTTGCAGGCAGTCACCAGCAATGAGTATATCTGCTGCAATCTTGAAGGAACTTATGTCACTCCTGAGATCTGAACCTGCGTCACCTAGTGGTGCAGTCAAAGACGCTACTATTGAACTCTTTTAGGTTTCTAATAGAAGCTTTGATTGCATACTAGGTAATAACTGGTGTTATGTAATTTCGTCGGCTCACAGATAACAAATATCTTCGCTGACTTACACCATCTCTGGCGTAGGCGTGACTCCGGCTATCACCAAGGACGTGTGTACTGCTCAGCACTTCGCTCCGTCCTTCTCTATGGCTCTGAAACATGGCCAATACGAGTTGAAGACATGAAAGGTTGACTGCTTTTGACCATAGATGTCTGCGATCTCTTTCTCACGTTAGGTGGTTTAATAAGGTAAGTAATGTTGACGTTAGGCGTAGAGTGTTGGGTAAAGAGGGAAAATCAATCGACGAGGCTATAAAGTTACATAGACTGAGATGGCTAGGTCACGTGGTGCGCATGCCTAACCATCGCCTGACGGGCATTACTAGCTGTATAGGTGCAGGTTGGAAAAGACTAAGTGGTGGCCAAACAAAATCATGGCATCAATCCATAAAATCCTTGACAGATAAACTGAGTCAGGTAGAGAGATGCAGACTTTCGGGTTGGGACTCTAGGAATCAGACATAGGTGACATGGCTCAAAATCGTTGTCAATGGCGCAGATGTATTCAGTCTCTGTAATCTTTCATATTCCTTTCTACCATTACCCATTCTGTTTCACTCTTATAATTGTCAAACTGTATGATTCTCTCCACTCATCTTCTTGTCTACCTGTGTGGTATTTGGAACGTGGCAACTGGAACTGGTGCACTTGGGTGCCAAGTTCTATTTTAATCCACACAGAGATAATAAAATAAAAGCGGTCAAATAGTGAACTTTCAGGTATTGGTTTCGTAAGGATTTTTTGTTTGATTGCATGGAGGATTTCATCATGAGCTGACATCAGTTAGAGAACCACTGGAAAACCTGGGAGTACTGGACAGCTGTTTCGTCACACTAGTTTGGGACTCTTCACAGTACGCACCCATCAACAGGGTTCGAAACCAGGACCTTCTGCTTATAAGGCGACCAGTACGCCACTGGGACCCTGTCGGATGGCCCATGAATTCTAACTTCTGCCAATTCACGAAATAGCGTGACCATTTCGCAATGTCTTCTTCGATGAGTTAATGCCTCACCTTCGACCTGTGGTACCGTATTGGTCACAGCTTCCCGCTAGAACCCAACCGCCTGAATAGGGCCAGTCGCTGGTAAGCATCAGATCGGATCGGGTCACACTGGTTCAACGGTCTACGAGCTCGCCTTGAAACCAGAAGGTCCTGGGTCCGACTCCCGGTGGGTGCGTACTGATGAAGAGTACCAAGCACTAGGACGAAACAACTGTCCAGTACTCCCAAGTTTTCCAGTGGTTCTTTAACTGATGTCAGCTCATGATGAAATCCTTCATCCAATCAAATAGTGAACTGTGTCATCAAATGATGGAGACAAGATAAGCTTGGAGTGCATCCAAAGGTTTACAAATAATAATGAAGTGAAGTAAACTTGATGGAGAGGAATACTAAGGGCGTAATAAGATAAAATGGTTACGTCCCCTATGACCTAATTGTAAGGTCACGGTGAACAAAGAGGATGTATGCATGTGCTGTATTTTGCCCAAATCAGTTATGTTTATGCTCGTTCATCCCCATAGCTTCATATACGACTAGGATGATGTTCAACAGTGGATGACTTATCTATTTTGACGCGGTATTAACTATACACTAGATTAGATTAAATGGTACTACTTGTTGACTTTCACCAGTAATATAAGATACCTTAATGTATCAGATAAAACATTTCCTTATAACTTTAAAAAAACACAAAATCTCACCTTTAAATCTTCCTGAGTTGATGAAGGCATACGCGTTGAAACATGAAAGATAACTTCTAAGGTGGATGTCACAAAATACGGTGTTGAATGACCAGCACGTCCACTTCGTTCTAATCCACCACGAAATCCTTTATGTGTGAGTAAATCAATTTCCCAACCAAGACCTGCTACAAAATTTTCAAATTCTAAGCTAGCTGTTTGATTAGACAGAATAGATTGTTTATCTTCTTGACCAGCGCCAACGTAGAATATAGCCAACTTATGTGTTTCACGTCTACAAAATAATAATAATAATAATAAAAGTAATCAATAATTATAATAACAAAGGCTTCATTTCAGATTATATGTGAACAGTATAATACAGACGTTTTCAGCCAACTTAGATCCAAGTACCTCCACTTCACATATGATATGATTCACATGCAAAGGAACAATCTGAAGTATATCATGTGACGTACACTTGCTGCATATGAAGGAAGAACCAATTGTGCAAACTTTTTTTCTTTATTTCCTTCGAGAATAGAACAGGGTCTTACCAAAAGTTAGTTAAATATGTGCGCGATTTCATGTGGTGACTGACTGGTTTCAACATAGAACTTTGCACCAATGTACAGCAGTTCAAGTCACCGCACTCCCTCCATCCATGTAGCACAGCACACAAAGCAAGAGAAGTAAGTAAAAAAAGAGACAGTAAACAGATAAATGCGACAAAAAAAGAACCATTGAGCTTTAGTGGATATTATAAGTCCCAAGGAGTGGGTGCATCTAACGGCGCCAGCCATTGAGAACAATTTTCAGCCAGATCACCAACTTTCTCCAGGCATTGGTTTTCACTATCCCGAGGACCCGAACCAGGAAGTCTGCACCTTCCTACCCAGTCCGCTCCGTCCTCCTCTATGAGACCTGGTCATTGAGAGTGGAAGACATGGAAAGATTAACTGTCTTTGATCATAGGTGCCTGCGTTCCATCTCCCGTGTTAAGTGGTATAATAAGGTCAGCAATATTGAGGTTAGGCATCAAGTTCTAGGTAAGCAGGGGAAATCAATCGACGAAGTTGTGAAGTCACAAAGACTGAGATGATTAGCACATGTGTTACGTATGCCTAGTCATCACCTTCCTCGACCGACGGGCAATGTTAGCTGATATAGGGTCAGGCTGGAAAACAGCTAGCGGCGGTCAAACCAAACCATGGCTACACCAGTCAATGAAATCCACAACAGTTAGTTTAAGCCAGCCAGCCAGCCAAGTAGGGAGGTGTAGACTTACTGACTGGTTGGGGTCCTCGGGACGGTAAAAACCAATGACGGCTGGAAACAATTGGTGATATGGCTCAAAGTTTTTCGCAATGGCTGGCGCCGTTAGATGCATCCACTCTTTGTGACTTATGATTTCCAATGAAACTATATTGTCCTTCGTTATTACTATTCCTTTGTCTCACACCTCTGTTTACCGTCTCTATTATGCATTTCTTCTACTTTTTTCTCTTGGTTTGTGTGCTACATAAAGTGAGTATGGCGACTTGAACTGCCACACATTGGTGCAAAGTTCTATGTCGAAAACAGATAGACAGACAGCACCTTCCTACGTGGTTGATGTGGTGATCATCTGATATATATCTGCATGATTAAAACAGTATGAAACGCAAAAGATTTCAAGTATTTTTAATGGATGGGAATTCTCGTAACCCAGTTGAGGTAAGCAGGCCAACCAACCAGTAGCTGCCACACTCTATACATGTAACGCGTTACGAATGTTTCAAGTTTTATTTTCATGATGAGAAAAATATATTGAACTGAAGCAGCATGATGCTACATAATACTGATTACATGAGACGAGTAGTTGTTGACTACTCACATCCACTATTACCGCTTGTCAGACAGATTACCGAAGTGATCTGTATACCGTTTGACACCCGTTTCGACTTAGCTCAGAAAGCCGAATCGGTACAAATCATCCAAATTCTGGCTCAACTGCTTGGAAAAAGAGAACTGATAATACGTAAAATCAAATTCAAAATTTACACAGTTGGAGGAAGTTACATTTTCACCATATTTTTCTTTGGAAACCGAAATTATTCAGATCAAATTACGTGATCATAAAGGGCAGCCAAAAAGGTAGTAAAAAAAAACAGCACCACTTTTTTTATTGCACAAAAACCATGTAGTACAAATGAATAGCTTTCATTTCTTATCTGCCGGAGTAGAGCACTAACAGAATTTGATATCAGGTCATTATCTGATGGTGTCTTACGCTACTGAGATGTTTGGCATAGAATTTACAGTTTCGGAATGTATCGACATACAATACATAGTTAAAACTGCTTCATGTTATATACTGTCATATCACAAAGTAACAACCATGTAGAAAATAAAAGACAATTCAGCGAAGAACATTTTGTTTACTGACGAAATCATCTCCACAGGTTGTACAGTCGTATTTATATATTTACCAAAAATGTATAGTATTCTATTATTGAGTAAGGGGTGGAGGGGGTTGACATAATTGATATAACTACTCAGAAGTGGCCTTAGAAGTAAAGCAATAAAAGTTGTAAATTACGCAGTACTCAACGACACACAGGAAGAAATGGTTGCAAATCTGATAAGGTTAAAATTATTACTGAGTAGTGAGAATAAAGGTAGTTGAGTGTCAATCTAACAAGACAATTACTAGCTTAATTCTCGAGCACTTGGTGAACTCAAGCCACGTAGCTCCACCAGAGTCATCTTTCAAGATCATCTACAAGGTGAGACTGAATGGTACGAAGGGCGTCAGGTTTCGGCGTTTGTGTACGACGGAGGCGCTGGCAATTCGTCAATACAACCCTGAACTCTGTATACAGAAAATGTTTGTCCAGTCCATTAATGATAAGATTTTATTTTGATAAATCACAGTGTTGTAATATTAGCCGAGTAACTAGATATGATTATGAGCAATAATTTGTGCTCGAAACGTCACCAGTTAATATTACTGTACAACACTGTGTGATTTATCAAAACAAAATCTTATCCATAATGGAGTTATGCTCTACCACAGTTTGTTCAGTCTCTTATTCTACCTTATCAAATTTCTAACCCCATTGAGTACCGCGTGATTTACAATTTTTATTTTTTACTTCTAAAGCCACTTCTGAGTAATATCAGTAATGTCAACCCCCTCCACCCCTTACTCAATAATAGACTACTATACATTTTTGGTAAATATATAAATAAGACTGTACAGCCTGTGGAGATGATTTCGTCGTTAAAGAAAAAAAATTTTTTCACTGAATTTGTCCTTATTTTCTTCATAACAATAATATCTTCATTTCCCGCTTTAATGATTCTTGAACGGTCTATTCACTATTGTATATGAAAGTCTAGAGGCAGTCAGTCAAAGCGCATGTTTTGTTGAAAATAGCACAGTTACAGCCTCCTAAAATACCACTTCTATGTTCAGCAATGCTCTTCTGATAAAAGAGGATAATGGATTTGTTTACCTAAGTAGTCTATGATCCAAATAGTCGAAAGACTGATTTAAGTAAAACATTTATCCAGGGAAACAACTGTCGTCACGAGATGATAACGTTTCGTAGCCTCTCTATGATCGCTTTATCACTAGCATGGTTCGCGATAGTAAAACAAAAATGTACGACAATTACTCAGCTATATAAAACATAAAAGTACATGCTAATAACCAATCTCATATTTTACTACATTAAGAAGCTCATGATAGGCAAAACGTTGAAATCTATTGTTTTCTGTACATGCACCACAGTTTTACATTCTTATGATTAATCCAAAGTACTTCAATCCATGATAGAAGAATAGAATTTGTGCATTGTAGTAAAGTATAATTCCGTGGCGAGCAAAATTTATTTTGAAAAAGTCACTCAGTGTTGTTATATAGTAATATTTACTGATGACGTTTCGAGCACAATTTATTGCTTATAATCATACCACTTTGATATGATTATAAATAAATAAATTATAAATAAATTTGAACGTCGTCTCCGTCTCACACAAAAAGGTGAGGTTGCACGTTAAATACCTTATTAAGGGATTACAATTCATAGATTTTATTCTGTTATTGCTTGACTGATTTCGGCTTATGAAGGCAGTTGACCCGACCGATAGCTGCTAACTTGACGTGGTGGTCGGGCTTGCATATCGCAATGACCCAACAAGCTACACTGGCTTGAACCAATGTTCCTGCAGGTCCTACCATGCCAGGAAGGTTGTTAGGATAGCGATTAGACTAAAAGCAGTTACCGACATTGTGTAAGAATCTTTCTTACACTATGCTGGAGGTCTGAGGACGAAGTCGTACTGCTGGGGAACAGGGGTGTAACAGCAGTGCGGTGTTTCCCTCAGATGACCAGCATGTCAATCAGCTGTGCTGTCTCTCCACTCCGGAAGGACGGGGTTAGAAAAGGTCGACCCCAACAATTGTACATCCTGACTTACCCTACGGTAGTTCGTAACCAGTAGTAAGTTTACTAATACGGAACCAATCCCAGAAACTAGTTCATGCAGGCCTCAAGCAGTTGTCCACTGGGCTCTGCGGTCACGCAACACTCTCTCTGTTTCAGGTACCCGAAGAATTAATCAACTTCCACGGTGTAGGTAGCCGGAAGTAACAACCGCCAGCACACTTTCAGACAAGGCAGTTGACCAGAGAGAGGAGGAGATGGGAACATAGTGTAAATATAAAACATTAAAGTGTGTCCACTTTTTGTGCATAATTCAATTATGCAAAAAAACTTACGTTCCAAGATTATCTAAATGCTTCAGTTCGCGTACAAGACCAGGTGATTTCTGTAACAATTCAACAGTAGGTCTATGTCTCCATGATAAATAACCAAATTGATTCAATAAATGACGAGCATTATCAAATTGCATAGCATTTCGTTTACTTGTTGTCCGATTCAAAGATTCACGTCTGTTAGGTAGTTCTGGTGAAGCATAAAGTGATATCCTGTGTGTGTGTGTGTGAAATAGATCAAGGAAAAGAAAAAAATTCAGAACATTAGCAAGTTACTTTACAATTAAAGTGATATTCTATTTTGTAATGAGATAACACAGTGGCTTCTCTGAATTAACGTTCGTTGTAAGTCATTATAAAGTGTTCATCATAATATTGTGGTGAGAACTGTCTGCAAGCCGAAATTGTAGACAACAATTGACGTCATGACAGAAAAAAACAATAACGAAGCTTAATCTTGAGGAACTCACCAACCAATCACCGTAGGCATAATGTGTGAAAATACGATTCGCAGATACATGGCTTAAATTTCTGAGAAACAGTCACGAGCAGTACAGAATAACATTGAGCAAGAAAACAACCAATCAGAAGGCGTTGCTTCTCTGTTAACCATAGCGCTAATAATAATGTACATAAAAATGGATATATAAAAAAATGGATATCTCTCTCTCTCAATAAACGATCTATTGCCTGACCCTTGTCTTCTATAGTTACAAGAACAACGTTTGTTGTAGAACAAATAAGGTAGTACCATCATTTATTTCGTCGACCTTTCACATCAGCTGCGTAAACAGCTTAATGAAATGAATTGAGTTTACGCAGCGAATTATTTTAACATACTTGCAAATGTCACGTAATGTCAGTTGACAGGAGACTCCAAATTGAATAAACAGTGCTCAGAAAATTACACATATATAGCTCATACACAGAGAGTTTAAGTTTAAATTTGAAAAAAAATAAGATCTTGCATACACAAGCAAGGAAGTTACATAACAAAGTCACAAGATAAATAAAACTAAGTGTTAATAAAAAGTGGAATAACAATGTGGTGAGTTCAACTCATATCACAAAAACAAGAGACAAGCAGAGTTACACTATATCAAAGAGAGTAGGAGCTAAGGATATCTAGTTACCAGGTCATGGAAAGACTGATAAATGCCTTTTTCTGAACACACAAATTCAGTTTCAGGCATTTTGATAACAATTGCTTAGGTTCAATTAAGAAGAATTTTACTATTTTGTTTCCTGATTATTTCAAAGGATTTCATCGTGTTCAGCTCGTGACCTATATTGATGTAATATCTGGCAATGGAACTATTGAAAGTGTTTATTTCCTTTGGAATGTAGGCTTTTTGATACTTGTCCAGAGAATCGAAAGTTTACCCTTCTTTGTTTCCTTTCAATGTAAATGCTACCGCGGAAACATGTAAATTTGTAAACGCTATTAGAGTCGGTCTTTGTCTCTACCAGAGGGAATGTTGTCCAATAAACCGGAACCAATTTAAATGAAGTATAACGACAGAAAACAAGGGCCAGGCAACAGATCGTTTATTGAGAAAATCCACAGATTTTTATGTACGTTATTATTCGTTATTATTAGCAGAGAAACAGCGTCTTCTGATTGGTCGTTTTCTCACTGGAAGTTATTCTGTAATCTCTTTGTGGCTGTTTCTTTGAAGGTCAGACCATATATCTGCTACTCGTATCCGCCCACGCAAAGTCTTTGTTCCTGTTTTTCTCATCACCAACACTGACGTGAATTGCTGTCTACCAATTTTGGCTAGCAGACAGCTCTCACCACAGTAGGGTAGGTTCTAGCTGGGGTTAGGCTGGCTGTTCTCAGCTCATAAAACTGAAGATCAAATTTTTAATACATGTATCAAGCAACTCAATGAATTTTCAAGAAAAGCGACAACAATGAAAACAAAATAGTAGAACATACACCTCTAAAGGTCAGGCGACTGTAAAACTTTGATTTCATGAGGAACATACGGCTTCATATAAGCACACCACTATCCCATCTTGTTTTCTTCGGTTATTTTAAGCTGGGTCCACGTTACTAACCCTAGACTTTCATTTCCGCCTCCATAACAACCTCGGACTCGAACCAAACTCATCGTTTCCCTTTCCAAGTTCCATTCTAGGGTATGGTACGCCATGTCAAATAACAGTTTTCTAACCGTGTGTCCAACCTATCTGCATTTCCTTCGTCACATTTGTTGGGTAATAGGTTCTTCGTTGACTAGCCATCTAATCTTCACAGTGTGGAGTGAGGGAAGACAGTTGTCAATAAAAGTCTGAAGCCTGTTCGTCAAGTCTCTGAATCATGGATAAAATACTGACTGACTAGACACTGGTGTTGGAAATTCGAATCTTATTCATTATGTTTTCATAATGATTTCAGAATAATGACGAACGACTATCTCGCCTTTCACATCCTGACTGGCACTGACAGTTGAAAGGAAGATGCATAGATAAGCAAGAGACAGATGACTTTCTTTTAGATTTCTCTCGTTGGTAGTGGCTGACGCTTGTTATTGATTACGTATCTTCATCACTTCTGTCTTCTTCATATTCATCACATGATGTCCTGTCATCTTCGCTGTCTGCCTCTTCTCCTAACTTGTAGGTCTTCGCCTATACATTTTCAGATTTGAGTAGGTCCTACCATGTCAGGAAGGTTTTCTGGATAGCGGTTAAACTAAAAGCAGTTACCATGGGGTACATGGGCTCCAGTTTCCAATCGGATCAAATGGCGTATGAACCCACATGGGTCACCGGCAACCATGGGAATGCAGCTCCTGACGCTGCTCCGCTGCCTTGCGGATTAGACTCCAAGTCAAAGGCTCGGGGGTGGTCCCTTAATAAAGCCACCTGCTTCGGTCTGGGCGCCCGGGCAGTATCTCAGCCCGCACACAATGAATGAATTAAAGCAACGAACTCCCATTGAAACTCAACGCGCTAGTAAAATGATTCCAAGCAATATTGATCCCTCAAGGAACTTATTTCCTTCCTACCCTACTTTTATTTTTATACATAGTTTCCTGTATTGTACCTTTTCTAACCTTGGCTTCTTAACCTTCGACAGCCTTTCGCCTTTGTCGAGATTCCCAGCCTATCCGTGTCGTTTCGAGATGTTAGTGAGTAGTCCTCAAAATGGTTGTTCCCAATGTGACATCTAACACGGATATCCTGAAACCGCGTGCTGCGTTCAAGCTGGCTACCTACAATGTTCGGACGCTGATGCAAATCGGACAACAGGCAGGGTTGGCAAGAACTTTGGAAAGCCTCGCTATCGATGTCTGCTGCATTTCGGAGACCCGCATTCAAGATCCCAGTGAAGTGCTTCGACTATCCTCTCCATCTGGAAGTTCTAGTAGTATGTACCACCTGCGCTTATCCGGGGACCCTGTGGCGTCGGCATCCGGCGTAGCTGGTGTCGGTGTCGCACTGAGCGCTAGAGCCGAAGCTGCACTGCTCGACTGGATTCCCATTAACAGTCGTTTATGTGCTGTGAGGCTGGAAGGTTATACGAAAGTAAAGAGTAGTAGGCCAGATAGGCGGTGTCTATTTGTTGTCTCTGCCTATGCACCGACGGATTGCAGCCCGGATGCAATGAAGGATGAGTTTTACTACCAACTGAGCGATCTCTTGAAACAGGCGGGTCGGAGGGATATCGTAGTGCTGGCTGGGGACTTGAATGCACAGGTGGGGCGTCTAAGCTCAGAGGAGAATCGTCTAGGTGGTCAGTGGGGACTACATGGTCGCAGGTCAGATAATGGGGACCGTCTTCTGCAGCTTTGCGCGGATCACAACCTATTTCTAGCTAGCACCAACTTCCGGCACAGCCATCGCCGTAGCGCTACCTGGCGTCCTCCCTCTGCGAAGCAAGCTTGGACTCAGATTGATCATATCGCGGTCAGTTTCCGGTGGCGAGGATGCATACAAGACTGTCGCTCCTTCTGGAGCACATGCCTGGACTCCGATCATGCGTTAGTGTGTGCCAAGTTCGTCTTGCGATTTGGTGGGGTTCGTAAAAGCCGTCGTCTAAGCGTTGATGTGAGCAAACTAGTAGCACCTGCTACTTCTTTGAAATATCAGAATGAGTTAAAAACAATGCTTGCCAGCAACCCCCCAAGTAGTATAGATGAACATTGGCTTCATGTGCAAGGTGCCATGCAAAAGGCGAGTGTAGCCGCTTGCGGCTTGAAAGAATGCTCCGCTAACAACCACTGGGTTTCTGCGAGTTCCTTGCAACTCATGGATGAACGCCGGTCCATTCCGGCTGGCAGCGAATACAACAATCAGCGAAAGGCGCTCACGCGCAAGATTAGACAGTGTTTACGTAAGGACCGCGAAGCCTGGTGGTCAGAACGTGCGTGTGAGATGGAGTCAGCTGCTGCATCTGGCAACAGTCGGAAGCTGTTCCAACTCATACGAGCCACCGGCAGCAAGAAACAAGGTGTCAGCGAGACGGTCTGTGAGGCAGATGGCACTCCAATTACCAGCCTGAAAAGACGCCTGGAACGCTGGGCAGAGCACTTCGGGAAGCAGTTCAGCTGGCCACCAGCTTCAGTGTCTACTATCATTAGCCCGAGTGCTCCTTGGTCGGTTAGTACCGACCCACCCACCGAAGCGGAGGTCCGTAAGGAACTCCAAGTTCTGAAACGCCATAAGGCGCCCGGCCCAGACAAATTACCCCCGGCTCTTTTTAAAGATGGTGGCGAGACTCTCACAATGGCTCTAACTGGGTTGTTCAGGAAGGTGTGGGAGACAGAGAGTGTACCATCAATGTGGAACGAAGCCATTATCGTCCCCATCTTTAAAAAGGGTCGACGTAATTCGTGTGACAATCATAGGGGTATCAGTCTGTTACCAGTCGCGTCTAAAATATTGGCTGCTGTCTTGCTTCGCAGACTGTGCAAAATACGTGAAGGATTGATTCGCGAAGAGCAGGCTGGAACATAAGGCTACAAGTCTGAATCATTCAGATTCTCCTCAGATAATTATGAATGGTCGAACATATTATAAATGTTAAAAATCAGATTAACAGCCACTGAAAATCATTAAGAGGATTCCAGGTCACCACCGTGCGTCGGTGGCAGAGAGCGGTTAGGAGGCTCGCCGACCCTGCACAAGGTCAAGAGTTTGATCCCCAGCCATGGACGCACTCCTTTACCTCGCTAAGCCAGAAATAATGCTTATAAAGAGGAAAGGTTGGACATAAGACAGGCTAGCAACCCCATCCTGTAGAAATAAACACTGCTACAAAAACTTCAGGCTACTAGCTTGAGGTTCTATGTTCCACTGGGGAACATGAAGGAAAACAAAATGGTCAGCACCACTACTTCAAAAACATTTATCACTCGCATCTATGACTTACACATCAGCATCAGTTAATTTCTTATGAATAATATCTTCATCCATTTGACATTGAGAAGTGATTTGATCACAAGTCATTTTCTCCATATTTAAACAGGTAATAATTTCTGTATCAGATTTCTCTTTCACATGTTCATATTCAGACAGTTTAGATGCACTCCAAGTAATTGAACACTCAGGACTAGTCGCAGCTAAATCACGCAAAACCTAAAATAAATAAATAAATAGAAAAAAGGAAACAGGGTGAAAGAGAAAAGAAATGAGAAATGAACACACACATCTAGATCGATTCACATCAATGCATATATATATATATATATATCAGCTATTCTCTCTAAGCAGAACAAGTAGGCTAGACAGATAAGTGTTAATATTGCAGTCTCTTTCTTTTTGACGTTAGATATTCCAAAATGCCATTTTTTCTGAGGGGGGGGGGCTATGTAGACAGGTTATTCAGCAATAAATCTGTATAATGTGCCTACATTTCCTGAGTGAAACACACAAAAATGAAGAAACAAAACGAATTTATTTATTTTTGATTCGTAAAAAGTTTAATAAATCAACTCCTAAATTGGTATATTTCAAGATTTTTGAGACTGCAGGTGACATTTGATGCATTTCCTCTTTTTGCTTGATAGAATAACTCAGCTGAAAGAGTAAAATACATTAGTAGGGGGGGGTTAGCGAGTATAATCATCACAACTTAACTGACTGGTTGAGTTTCAACATAGAACAACTTTGCACAGAAGTCCAACAGTCCAAGTTCTCATGCAGCAAGCACCACAAAAAAGTAAAGACAAAACAGTGGAAAGAATAGATTCAGGGCAATTAGAATAAGCGGAAATGCGACGGAGAAAGAATATTAACATGGAAAAAAGAACAACAGTGCGTGAATCTTCTTTGTTGACACGATTTTGAGCTATATCACCAAGACTTCGAGAACCCTGAACAAGAAGTCTATGCCTGACTATGTGACTAGCTCAAAGTAACTGGCAAAGATTTCATGGATTGATTCCATGTTTTTGTTAGACCACCACCTGTCTTTTCTAACCTAATTCGATGTCAGTTAACATTTACCGTCGAGGAAGGGTGATGGCGTGAAATGCGCAACACTTGTCCTAGCTATCATAACCTTATCGGTCGAATTACCCGCCTACCCTAAAGCTCGACGGCTAACCTCAGTATTACTCACCACCACCTAACGTGGGGGATAGAACGCAGTCACCTATGATCGAAGATTGCTATTTTTTTTCATATCTTCCACTTACAATGCTTGTGTCTCACAGAGATAAAAAAAAAGATGAAGTGAATTGGTGAGCGGTCCACACGTCCTTTGATCGATAGCCAGATATAAACGTCTACGTCAGAGGTGACGTGTACGCTGGCAACTATCACACACGCCTATTGTATCATCCATGCTGAGATTTCCCCCAACCCTTATGCCTTAAGTAATTCAACAAACTCGAAACGCAAAATCCAATGACCCTGATATTCTGACTTGTGATACAACGCTGCCGTCTCCAATGCCTTCGATAAACATCCACTTCACCGTGTCACGATGGACCCCATCGGTTACTAATTCTCGCTATAGCTTCAAGACATCCATCCAGCAAGCATCAGTGAGCTGGAGATTAATATTAAGATTATAGGATCCTTTTCAAATTCTGGCCCAAGGAGCTTGGTCTTATAACCTGAAGCCCCCGAGTTCGACCCCTAGAGGTTCACGAGGCTATTTTGGGACTGAAAATAAAGAATACTCAACAACAACCACTTGCATCATCATAGATTTTTCAGAGTTATACTTATTGTGCTACAGTGCTACCCAGACATCGGTTGATGTAACAAGCTGCGAAACAATGATCCACTTGGTGAGAAGTCAGTCGCCTACACTACACCAGTAAGCCACAGGTCTACATATACTGAAGGATTAACAATAACAACTTTAGTGAATATTATGGAATATTTTGATAATTTTACTCAACGAAGTTAAACTTGTTTGAAGCTACGAATAAAATATTGCTTGCTTCATTATACTTCTCCAAGTGATGATCAAAAATTAATTCTGAGTAGTGATCACACATAGGTTTACAACCATGTGCAACAGAGTAATTCACACACAAGAAACAAATTTCTCCTGACCGAAAGCTGCTACCTTGACGTGGTGGTCGGGCTTGAACACCGCAATGTCCCAAAAAGCTATACTGGATGAGATTTATGTCTCTTGAGGTCCTACCATGCCAGAAAGGTTGTTTGGATAGCGGTTAAACAAAAAGCTGCTACCCAATCCAATACTATGTACAATACAAACTCACAAAATATAATGCCGGATCGGCCGTGGCCCGGATTAACAACGACAGCGCTTCCTGCTGCCGTGTCACAGGGCAGAAGTGATAAATATGCTACTGACACACACCAAACAATAAAGAACAAACAAAAACAGGCCGCGTGTGACCGGCCACAAGCAGTTGTCCCCTGGGCTCTGCGGTCACGCAACCAACTTCCACGGTGTGGGCAGTCGTGAAGTAACAATCGCCCTCACAATCCGAAATGCACACGAAACCTCTTTAATCCTCACTCATCTTTGTCTTCATCTTCATCTCTATCATCTTGCCTTCCTTCCACTGATGCAACTCCTCTACTTGATGGCTCCTCACTCCCTCTTCACTCTGTGTCCACTAAAAACGACGGAAGCCAGAAAACCACCACCGATAGTCTCCTAAAGCCACGCCACCAATTTCGTATAGGAGCATTAATGTTAGGACACTTTGCCAAATGGGACAAAATGGATCACTAGCCAAGACTCTGGCATCCCGAGCCATTGATGTATGCTGTGTTTCAGAAACACGCATACAAGACCCAAGTGTGGTTATTCAACTAACCCCACCTGGCCAACAGGATGAATCTGCAAAATTCACCTTGAGAGTGTCACGAGATGCCACAGCTAGTTCACGAAGATTCGCTGGTGTAACAACCAGTCGTGTCCGACAGGGATGTCCACTTTCCCCATTTCTGTTTAACTTCATCATAGATATGCTAATGGAAGTATCCTCAACTGAACGTAACGACTTAGGAATCAACTTGTTACCAGGGAATAGTCTTATGGACTTAGAATATGCAGATGACATAGTCCTGTTAGGGGAGGATGCTAACAAAATCCAGCAGAGTCTTCTGAACACCTTAAGCAGCAATCTTCGTATGTTTGGCATGCGATTCGCCCCTGCAAAATGTAAGATGCTGCTACAGGACTGGATGGACTACGTCAACTCCTAGCTTAGTGATAGGGGGGAGTGAAGTGATAGAACATGTTGACCACTTCACCTATTTGGGAAGTTGTATCACCACCAACGGACTGATTGGCGATGAAATCTCAGCACAGATCCAAAAAGCTCCAGTTGCTTTCGTTGACTTACACCATCTCTGGCGTAGGCGTGACATCCGGCTGGCTATCAACCAAGGGACGTGTGTACTGCTCAGCAGTTCGCTCCGTCCTTCTCTATGGCTCTGAAACATGGCCAATACGAGTTGAAGACATGAAAAGGTTGACTGCTTTCGATCATAGATTTCTACTATCTTTGTCTCACGTTAGGTGGTTTAATAAGGTAAGTAATCTTGAAGTTAGGCGTAGAGTGTTGGGCAAGCAGGGAAAATCAATCGACGAGGCTATAAAGTTACATAGATTGAGATGGCTAGGTCACGTGGTGCGCATGACTAACCATCGCCTCCCCACCCCCGACGGGCATTACTAGCTGGTATAGGTGCAGGTTGGAAAAGAGCCAGTGGTGGCCAAACAAAAACATGGCCTCATCAATCCATGAAATCCTTGACAGTTAAACTGAGTCGGTCAGGTAGGGAGATGCAGACTTTCGGGTTGGGGCCCTCGGGACTCCACGAATCAATGGCTGGAGACAATAGGTGACATGGCTCAAAATCGCTGTCAATGGCCAGCGGAGATGTATTCAGTCTCTGTAATCTTTCATATACCCTTCTACCATTACCCATTCTGTTTCACTCTTATACTTGTCAAACTCTATTGATTCTCTTCACTCATCTTCTTGTCTACCTTTGTGTGGTATTTGGAACGTGGCAACTGGAACTGGTGCACTTGGGTGCCAAGTTGTATGTTGAATCCAGATAGACAGACACAGAGACAAGTTATAAACGAAAATAACAGTAATAACAATAATAATAACAATATACTTCTAATGAAAGTCAATGAAACCTTAAGAATACGGTTCGAGTGATAAATCGCTGTATCTCTCTCTCTTTCACTGTGTTGCGTATAGCCACAGTTTACTTAAAGTACACGCTGACGATCGATAACACTGAGAGTTAATGAAAACGTATATATGCACATCTTAGAGTTGTGTTTAACATAACATGTAAATATTTACACAAAAAGTATAATGTGATTCATGAAGAAAGGAACCATTATTTTTTTTGTTTGTGTTTTTACCTTATACAACGATAAGAAATCAAAATAGTCTATCATATGAGAAATTTACTACATCGCTTGATAATAAATAATTTTTAAAAACATACATTTAAAACAAATAAGTAAACGTTAGATGTCGCCATGAAACAACATCCATTTCGTTCTAGTTTTGCGACTATTATTCAGAAGTAGCACACTCACAACCCTATAACATAAATTGAACCTGAGATCTTCACAGATTATGAGATAAAATTTGTCGACTATTCATATCCATTTAGGTTAGATAGAATACAATGACGCATGAATTCGTGATAAAGTGCTACTCACTCCACAGCCTTCAGTGAGCATACACACTTCACCTCACATTGTGGATCTCATTGGCTACAATTTCTCACTACAGCTTCAAGGCATACATTCAATAGTCATGAAGAAGCTTGTGATTGATATTCGGATTGTTAAAGTTAATCGCCAGTAGGTGAGAGTAGCGTTACATATCATGAATTGATAAAGTCAAAGTTCAGGCGTCATTGAATCCCAAGGCCGGGTGGCTGAATGGTCAATGACCTCAGTTTCGTAGGCTGAAGGTCCCACGTTCAATCCCTGGTGAGACTCCCACAGAAGGGTGAAACAGATGTCGAGTGTACCCTGGTGGTTTCCAATAATCTCTCAAATCGAAGTTGGTTCACAACGAAATGTGAGAATAGAAATTGAATTAATCTAAATCACCACTAATCTCATAATCTAACCTAGTAAACAGTTTTTGCGGTCTTTGATATCAAGCAGACAGATCAACCATGGATTATCCTTCATTGTAAATATTAGTAGCGATCGATGTTCAGTCTAGAAATAGACCAATCAGAATCTGGCCCACATAAGTGATCGATGTTCAGTCTGGAAATAAACCAATCAGGATTGTTCTCTGTCCGATAACCCCCACTACTTTATTCATCATTTCGCTGTGTGTCCTCGCTTAAGTAGTGCGGCTGAAGGAGCACAGATAGCTGTTGTATAATGTTGTTTGACGTAGTCAAGCGGTGTTCGTTATATATATATATATATATATATATATATATATATATATGCGGCAACTCAGTGTCCCCTATTTCGACTCAACATTTTGCAAAATAATAAAAATGGCGACATCATAACAGTTTCTTCAATGTTATGATATAAGGAAAAGACAAAAATGCACAATTACAAAGAGAATAATCTCACAAATGTATGTATGTATGTAAGTGAACTCACATCATTTAATTGATCAAGATTATGTAACACTGGGGATGTTAAACCATTTAACAATGGAGGTGGAGGATTCATACGTGGCGGTGGACAAGGTGGTGGTTCACGTGATAAATGTACATGTAAATCATCACCTGAATCGATTGGTGATAATAAATTATCATTTATACATTCATTTGATTGTAATTGTTGTTGTTCTCTAAATTCGAATATACTATTGTATAAATATGATGCATCCCATGTGTATTTACCGGAGAGATCACGTGCAATGATTCGTGTATAAAATGGATCTATAATAAATTACAAAAGAAAGTGATACATGTATATTCATTGTTTATCAAAGATGAATAACATTCATTATTGAATGAACTCAACTATCAATGGATTTGCATTGATTAGTTCAAAGTGAAACACGTTAACAGACAGCATTTGAATAAAAACACGAGAGAAAAAAAACTAAGCCATGACAACTTTACCGCGAATATAGAGAAGAGAGAGAAAGCTCTAGTCACTACTAACGACAGCATCGTTTCAACTACAGGCGATGGTACGTAGATGGAAATGTCGAAGACAGATAACCAGGAACAGAAAAGCAACATAAGGAAGACCTTCAATTAATCTGAGATCAGTGTGAAATCCTACTGACTGATTAAGTTTCAGCATCTATCTCCATTTTCTCCTACATTTTGGTGAGCATTCGGCTGTTTATGGGTTGTTGCCTGAGTTTACTAGCTTCCTAGTTTTCTAGCTGGTCCCAAGCCCGCGTAGCTAACCAGTCAAGAGCCGATTGCTTAACAAATATGTAGGAAAAATGGAGGTGGATCAGGCATGTGGCCAGGAGGCTGTCGAATGACATTGCGCGGAATGCAGGGTATCACTCGAGTGGAATACCAATGGGAACTGGTGACTAAGTCATCACTTCGACGGTGACATGGAGGATATCGTGTGAGGAGGAATTCAGAGATTATGGTTAATCGTGGACCCAGTTGAATAGAACAGCACGAAACAGTACAAAGCGGAGATGTATTTTTGAAGCCCTGTACATCCCACTCGGAATCCAAGGGAATAATAATAATATGTATTTAATACATACGACAGATTATACAGAGTGAATACATCTGCGCCGACTGAGAACAACTAATTAAGCCATATCACCAAATGTCTCCAGTCTTCATTTGTTATTAGCAACTCGAAGACCTAAACCAGGCATTTAACCACCTTCCTACATGTCAAAGATTCCATGGATTGACGAGAGAGGTTTTGGTTTGGCTTAATCCGACTAAACTCCATACTAGGAAAAAAGATTCAGATTTTCAACAGTCATGCGACTAAAAACACTTCCAATAGCCTACTGCAAACTTTGATCTACCTACAGCTGTCCTCATTGGCTACACATGGACAGAAAGGATACACAATAAGGAACTTTGGAAAAGATCCAACCAGGAAAAATACACACAGAGTAAATATACGCTGAAGAAATCAATGGATAACATCACACGCCAAGCCATCGCTCGGCTGGAACCGGAATGGAAATATATGAGTTTTCACACTTAGGTGAGGTAGATGACATCATGTGTGTGTGTGTGTGTGTGTGTGTGTGAAGAGAAGACGAGAGCTCATGGGTAATCATGAAACCAGCTAAAGAGAGATGTGTGGTCGTTTACGCACCATGTTCCACTCCGAACACAAGAAAACAAAAATACATATATCACACAAGTTGATACAAAGGAATGCATACTTGTTACAAATGTAGAATTCAATGAAGTCATCTTCACATCCTCTTTTGAATTTAGAGATGAATACGGTAGATAAATGTATGATGAATGATCATCACTTAAAGCTAATTGATAGTCTTTAATAACCGGTAAATCTGTTGATTCAGTGTTAAGTTCAGAATTCCTCTTCTCCTTCTTCTTCGTCTTTTCATCGACCACCTTCATAATTGGTAGGGAAATAAATGTCAGTAGAATTGAACGATCCAAAACAAAAATTTGTAGATTATTTTGTTCAAATATATCCGGTGTAAGCTCTTTTTCATCTGTGTTTACATCAGTGTTGCTGTTGTTGTTATTACTACTACTACTACTGAAATCGTTTTCAGTAGCAGTTAGAGGAGGATAAAATTGATCATGATGTTCTTGAATCGATGTATTGATCTGTACACCATCTTTAGACTGGGACGATAAAGAAAAAAAAAGAGATGACAGGTCATAAAAACGTTTATATGACAGGTAAACAAAATACTGACTTAGATATGATGGGGGAAGATTTGTAGCTCAGGTGGATGATTTTGATGTGGTTGTGTTCTCTGAGCTGGATAGTTAATTTGCGAAGCTCTCATTGTCCTACTAGACAGCATCTTCAGCGCATACTTAGATTTCAGGTGAGCTTACAGATTTTTCCACGAGTCTACTTTGTAAGTCACCGCTTCTGCAGGGTTACTTCGAACGTTGTTTCTGTGTGTTTTCACACCCTCTAGAGGCGGCTACTTGTATTGGAACTGATTGTTTCTTTGACTTGAACTCTGACCCTTTGTGTGTGTGCGAAGCCTTATATTCCAATGAATCGTCAATCAACAGACACATTGAGACAGACAACATTTACCAACTGATAAGAAGAAAATCGGTCACACAAAAAGGGTCAAAGTTCAAGTCAAGGAAATAAACGATTCCAATACAAGTAGCCGCCTAGAGGGTGTGAAAATACACAAAAACAACCGATCACGACGTTGGAGGTTATTAGAAGAGCTGACTAATACACTCGTGAAGAAATCTAAAAGCTAACTTCAACAAATTGAAGTATGCATTGAAGATGTTGCCTAGTAGAGGGCAATGAAACCTTCGCAAATTAACTATCCAGCTCAGAGAACACAACCACATCAAAAAACAACAGACTTATATTTCAATTTAAACAGAAACGTCTTAAAAAAGGGTACACAGCAACAAGTAGAAGACACTGATGGAATGCAGAATCTTATGAACACTATACACAAAAATCTTCGAATGTTGGACATGTAATTTGCTCCTGCCAAATGTAAGAAAATTCTATGTTAGTAGATGTCATCGGCTTCTAGTCTAAAGATAACTCGTGAAGTGGTAGAGCGTGTTGACCAATCCCAACGCACTAAATGCTCACGAAATCTCAACATGAGTACAAAAGCTTCATGTGGCAGTTGACATGATATCCAAACATCGATAAAAAGTGTCTACAATCAAACAGTTAGCTCTTTCAGCTATTATAGCTGTGATACATAATCATTGAAAGTAGAAGATATGAAAACATTAGCTGTCTTTGATCATAGCTGACTGAGTTCTATCTTCCATGTTAGGTGGGTATAATAGGGCGAGTATTATTGAGGTTAGGCGTCAAGTTTTAGGTAAAGAGGGTTAGTCAGTAGATCAGGCTGAGGTGTCTAGAACATATGTCACGCATACCGAGCCAATGTCTTCCTCCACAGTCAATATTAACTGACATAGAATGGGTCAGGATGGAAAACAGCTAGTGAGTGGTGATCAAATGGAAACATGACATCAGTCCATGAAATTCTTAACAGTTAGTTTGAGCCAGCCATGTATGTGTGTGGGGGGGATGAGTAAACTGTTTGATTGAGGTCCTCAAGATGGTAAGAACCAATGACTAGAGACTATTAGTGATAAAGTTAGATAGAAGTCGTTAACAGTGGCGCAGATACACGCACTCCTTGTGGTCTTTCATTCCCAATAAACCGTACTGTTTTTCCATGTTACCACTCATTCTTCCTCACATTTCTACCTTATTATCGTTCTTTCGAATACGTTTTTACCCTCCTTTGTTAGGTACATGCCACGTGCCAACTTGGACTGATGTACTTCTATGCGAAGTTCTATGTTGAAACTCAGTCAGTCAATCAGTCAGGTCTGTCTGTCTGTTTTCGACATAGAACTTTGCACAAATGTGCGGAAGTTCAAGTCGCCACATTCCGTGTAGCACGCGAAGCAAGAGAAGAAAGTACAAGAAAAGCAAATAGAAACAGTGAGCAGAGGTGTGAGACAAAGGAGTAATAAAGAAATACAAAACAGTTTCATTGGAGATCATAAGTCACAGGGAGTGGATGCATCTGCGCCACTGAGAACGATTTTGAGCCATGTCACCAATTGTTTCCAACCATAGATTTTTGCCGTCCCGAGGACCCCAGCCTGGAAGTCTACACCTTCCTACGTGGCTAAGACCAACTGTTGTGGATTTCATTGACTGATGCCAAGTTTTTGTTTGACCGCCGCTAGCTTTTTTCCAGCCTGACCCTATATCCGCTAACATTGCTCGTCGAGGGAGGCGATGGCTTGGCATACGTAACACATGTCCTAACCATCTCAGTCGATGTAGCTTCACAACTTCGTCGATTGATTTCCCCTGTTTACCTAGGACTCTACGCCTAACCTCCATGTTGCTCACCTTATTATGCCACTTTACACGGGATATAGAACGCAGGCACCTATGATCAAAGACAGCTAGTCTTTTCATGTCTTCCACTCTGAGTGGCCAGGTCTCACAACCATAAAGGAGGACGGAGCGGACTGATGAGCAGTACACCCGCCCTTTGGTCGATAGTCGAACATCTCGTCTACGCCAGAGTCGGCGTAAACTAACAAAAGCGGATGCCCGGCGCCTTCACCGGGTTGACTGTCCATTGGATGACAGTCTAGGGGAGATGGCTAAACCCGATTCCAAACCTCCAACGACTGCGTATGAAGCTCATCGGAGCTCACCGGCAGACGTATGGACAAAGGGCTTATTGGATGCCTGGATGACTGGCCCCATTCGAAAGGCGAATGAACCGGACTCGGTCACCAGCTGCCAATGGATAATGGACTGCCTACTCCACTCCTACTGCCTTGTAGGTCACACTTGGTTGTGTAAAGGCTAGAGCTGCACTCTCAAACAAAAGGCCGAGCGATGCTGGGGACATCACTCGTACCCAATTCCCATGAAACTTCATGGTTCATGAAGCCGGCTCATCCTCTCGTAGGAGATAGCCGAAGTAAAGTAAAGTAAAGTAAGTAACAAATGCGAAACGAGCCCCTTGTATTCGTGCTGAGATTTCGTCAGAGATCAGCCCGTTGGGGCTGATGGTACTTCCCAAATAAGTGAAGCGGTCAACGTGCTCTACCACTTCACTTCCTATTTTTAAACTAGGCGTCGATGTAGTCCAGTCCTGTAACATCATCTTGCATTTGGCGGGAGCGAATCGCATGCCAAACATTCGTAGATTGCTGCTCAAGGTGTTTAGAAGACTCTGCATTTCGTCAGCGTCTTCGCCTAGAAGGACTATATCGTCTGCATATTCCAAGTCAACGAGATTATTCCCGGTAGCAAGTCAATCCCTGAATCGCTGAAGTCACCTAGGGTTAAGTCCATTAACACATCTATGATGAAGTTGAATAGAAAAGGAGATAATGGGCATCCTTGACGGACACCACTGGTCGTCATCAGTTCAGATGACAGCTCGCCGTAAGCCCTCACCTGGCTGTATGAGTACGAATAGAGTGCCTTAATCAGTGCAATATATTTTCTCGGAATTCCCTTTACAGCCAAGCATCTCCAGAGAACTTCCCGATCGACAGAGTCGAATGCTGCCTTTAGGTCAAGAAATATAATGACTGTTGGACGCCGGTAGGAATGCCTATGTTCTAGAATCTGTCGGAGGGTGAAGATATGATCAATACACCCTCTTCCTGGTCTAAAGCCTGCCTGGCTCTCTCGTGTTTGTGCTTCCCGAGCACCACTCAGTCTACGCATGATTATTGAGCCTAAGACTTTAGATACTATATTAGTCAAGCTAATCCCTCTGTGATTATCACAGGAAGACTTGTCTCCCTTCTTGTATATGGGGATAATCAGTGACTTACACCAACCCGATGGGACTTCTTCTGATTCCCAGACGCTGCCTAGTACCTCAGTTAATCCGGACAGTAAGCTGTCTCCACCGTACTTAAATACCTCTGGAGTCATTCCATCAGGTCCCGCTGCTTTGCCTAGTTTCAGATTGGTGACAGCTTTAGTAACCTCAGTTAGTGACGGAGGACCTGTGTCTATATCCCATTCAGGGAGGTGTTGGATGCTCGGAAGGTTGAGCGTGGCTGTGGGCAAATTAAACTGCTCCTCATAATGCTCTTTCCAACGATCCAGTCGTCTATCCTGTGAGCTAATTATAGTGCCATTTTTTTCCGAGATTGTCTCACTAATGATTTGTCTTCTCCCACCCGTTTCCCTGATGAGTCCAAAGAGTTGCCTGGTGTTGCCTATCCTCGAAGCTTTCTCCATCTCTTTGGCTTTTGTCGCCCACCACTGTTCACGGTCCTTGCGGAGACTTTTCGTAAGTTTCCTCTTGTGCAGCTTTCGCTCCTCATTGAATTCGGAGCTCGCCGGAATAAGTCTTCTAGCATCTATCAGTTCGGATGAGGCGGTGGAGATCCAGTGGTTTTTACTCACCTTTGGGTTTACCTTATTCACAGCTTTTACAGCTGTATCTATGGCTGCCTGGATATTTTTCCAAGCTTCTTCAGGGTGAGCACAGCTGTCGAACACAGATATGTGTTTAGCTAGTTCTTCCTCAAATACGGATTTAGTTTCCTGATCGAGCTGGGGACGTGATGGTTTTACCGCCAGCTGTTTCCTACGTCCGTTCAGTCGTAAGCACACCCGAGCGCGGACCAGTGCATGGTCGGTATCTACGCACGTGTTCCAGAAGGAGCGACAATCTCCTACCGACCCACGCCAACGATAGCTTATTGCTATGTGGTCTATTTGTGTCCAGCGTTGGTTTGATGAAGGGGGTCTCCAAGTCAAACAGTGTCTCTCCTTGTGTTTGAAGTTAGTGCTTACAAGAAACAAATGATTATCAGAGCAGAACTGTAGGAGACGGTCACCGTTGTCGGTTCGCTGGCACGGAACTCCATAGGTGCCACCGACATCCTTCTCAGATTGACACAATTTCCCTACTTGAGCGTTAAAGTCACCAGCTAGAACGACTATGTCTGAGCGTTTAGCCTTTCTCACCAAACTAGACAGCTTTTGGTAGAACTCATCCTTCGTTTCATCTGAACTGCAGTCAGTGGGGGCGTAGGCGGAGATTACGAAAAGGCATCGGCGAGTAGTGCAGTCCTTCCTCCTTCTTACTGATCCGTTCAGGCGGACAGCACACATTCGGCTATCTACCGGGATCCAGTCAAGCAATGTCTTTTCTGCCCTAGTACTCAAAGCTATCCCTACGCCAGCTAATCCTCGTGAACTAGCTGTGGCATCTCCTGACACCCTCAAGGTGAATTTTGCAGATTCAACCTGTTGGCCAGGTGGGGTTAGGTGAATAACCACACTTGGGTCTTGTATGCGTGTTTCTGAAACACAGCATACATCAATGGCTCGTGATGCCAGGGTCTTGGCTAGTGATGCTTGTTGTCCTATTTGGCAAAGTGTCCTAACATTAAGAGCTCCTATATGAAATTGGTGGCGCGGCTTTAAGAGGCTGTCGGTGGTGGTTTTTTGGCTTCCATCGTTTTTAGTGGACGCAGAGTGGAGAGGAAGTGGAGAGCTATCAAGTCGAGGAGTTGCATCAGTGGAAGGAAGGCAAGATGATAGAGATGAAGATGAAGACAAAGATGAGTGAGTAATAGAGAGGTTTCGTGTGCATTTCGGATTGTGAGGGCGATTGTTACTTCCCGGCTGCCCACACCGTGGAAGTTGGTTGCGTGACCGCAGAGCCCAGGGGACAACTGCTTGAGGCCGGTCACACGCGGCCTGTTTTTGTTTGTTCTTTTTGTTTGGTGTGTCTCAGTAGCAGATTTATCACTCCCGCCCTGTGACACGGCAGCAGGAAGCGCGGTCGTTGTTAATCCGGGCCACGGCCGATCCGGCATGAAATTTTGTAATTTTGTATTGGACATGATGTTGGATTGGGTAGCTGCTTTTTGTTTAACCGCTATCCAAACAACCTGCCTGGCATGGTAGAACCTCAAGAGACATAAGTCTCAGCCAGTATAGCTTGATTAGGTCATTGCGGTGTTCAAGCCCGACCACCACGTCAAGGTAGCAGCTTTCGGTCGGGTAGTAGTCAGGTAGTAGATTTCGACTTAAAACCTGCTTGGACAAGTGCAACTGTAGAGTACTTTTCATTTGTCTACTGATTGCTTTTATTCCTTTGCACTCCGTTTGGAACATATAGCTTCAAGCTTCAGATTTATTGAAGTTTCGGTAGCAATGATATTTACGTTATTTTACAGGGGGGGTTGTTAGTCTCACCAACCTTCGCCTTTTACTTGTCTTACTACTGGCTGGGCAAGATCTAGCATTAGGTCAGTTGGAGATCGAAACCAGACTAAATGTGGCCTGGTTGCCAACTGTTCTGTACCACTGAACCACCACCAGAACACACACACATTTTCAAGTGTTGGTTTGTAGGGATTTGATTGGTTACAGGATTTCATCATGAGCTGACATTAGTTAGAGAACCATAGAGATGTTCACTAACGATTTGCCCTATTCAGGTAGGTAGAAGTCGTGACCAGTAGGGTCCAGCAGGTCAGGTGTGAGGACAAATATTCGCCGAAGACATTGGCTAGCGGTCGCTATACGTCGTGAATTGGTAGGATATAAATTTCATGGGCCATTGAATCAGGTTCTAGTGGCTTAGTAGTTTACGAGCTCGCCTTGTAACCAGAAGGTCCTGGGTTCGAATCCCGGTGAGTGCGTAGTGCTGAAGAGTCCCAAACTAGGACGAAACAGCTGTCCAGTACTCCCAGGTTTTCCGATGGTTCTCTAACTAATGTCAGCTCATGATGAAACACACATTTGTTTAATATGAAAAATAATCTACTGAATGAGCATGAGTCGTTGGGACTGACCTGAAACAGAGGATTTCTGTTTGATTTTAAAGTAACCAGTGGTGATTTTACAGTTATATAACTCACACACAATTCAGTTACAACGTAAGAAGTCTTTTTATGTAAGAGGAAATGAAATACACGCATACAATGGGATCAAATTACGCAAATAACCTTCACAGTTTAGTAGTACACAAAGCATATCCATGACATTCAAAAAATATATTTGCAAAAAATACCCTTAATCCCACGGCACCATAACACAGACTGACGATCTTTCCGCTTTTCCCATCCAGTCCCAGAGGCTACAGGATAGTGACCAGTAGGAGGACTCTGGGAATTACTCACATGATTATACGATCAGACGCAAGCATTTCTAGAGAGGCACTGGTGATTGAATTCAGTCAACCCTTTCTGAAAATGGGCAAGATGATGGATTCATTTTACATTGATGGAACATTCCATTACTTTTTCCAACTAATACTCTAATGAGAATCTCACCACCTATGAAAACGGACGAGGGTAAGTGGTCTAGACCATGTACCTAAAAGCATTTCAGTATTTGAAGTTCCTTTCAGGTATCTGCTTCGTTCAGTGGTTCAGTGAAACACTGTAGTTAGTGAATAAATTGGGTCAAATCCTAAATATTGAGTAATGCTAAAGGTGAAATAGACAGATAATGAGTTTAAATAAGTACCGTAAAAGTTTGAAGGCAGTGGGAAGTAAGGAAGGGTGGGAAGTTATTTAGTTAGAATTTACATAGGCCAAGGGAAAGACAAATGTAGAACAAACTTCTTCTGTTGTATGAAAAGACTAGGATTGCTCTCTCGAATTCCCATAGATTCGACTATGTGTAAAAGACGGATTCGAATTCCATTCGAAAGGCTCGATGGAATGCGATAGATAACTTTGAAGGCACTATTTTTGTCCACTTGGTGACCGCTATCATCAATCAAATGAGCCAAAATAGAACTTCTTATAGATTCTATTCGACCTTTTCCGAACCATGAAGGAAGATGCTCATTAATGAGTTTGTTAAGCTGTCTAGTTGTTCGCCCTATACAGCGCTCTCCACAGGAGCAACTAAATTTATAGATACACATAAGAGTGGCATAGCTAGGTAGCTTGTCTTTCACTTGAGCAATCATAATCGGCCGGCTGAAAAATGACAAACAAAGGGTGGCGGCAGTATAAGTCCGTTTTATCGCTCTCAATAATCTTAGATGTAAGACTTCAGCAATTTTCTTATACTCGTTGTTTCACGTATCTAGAAGTTACAAAGAAATCACAGAAATCCAGTGGTTTTTAGCAGTGCATTCTTTGAAGCCTCAAGCAGTTTCACTTGCCATTTTTGCAAAACATATACGGATTCTACTTTATGAACAGACAACTTAAAGGAGGTAAAAGAAAACTACAAAAGCTTAATAGTTCACTGTACACAGATTTCACAAATACCAACTTTACGATTAAAATGATAAAATTATCCACCACAATAAAGCAACTTACCATCGGAAATTGATCCAAGTGATTGAGCATATGATTCAAAGCCACTCGTGCTGCTAACCGTACAGACTCTGTGATATGATTTATATTTTCATTATAATTCAATCCAGATAGAGAATTGTCACTACCAGTGAAAAGCCATGATTTGACTGCCAAACTCGATATGTCTAATCCAGTCTTAGGTGACTGTAAAACAACGCATACCATAAAACTGTCAATTTTTAAATCACAATGGTAATTACAGAAATTCAAAATGCGCTTCAAAAAGAAGAGAAAAGAAATCAACAAGTTAAACTAAACAGCCCACTTTAAGTGGAACTGTGGTTTACATTGGTCTAAGCGGTTGTAAACTTGCAGCAAGCACTAGTAAGTCATGGGATTCGAACCCCACCCTCTACACACTGAAATTTGAACTGCTCTAAGGGTTCCATAACCAGCCCTCCCACACCCACAAGAGGTGTGTGTGACTCATTACCAGCTCCATGGAATTGCAGGTGACTGCTGGCTGAGTAACACTGCACTACTTTCAGCAAATGGAACAAGTAGACGAAAGTTAATGCTAAGGAATGAGCGGACTAAAATTATAATTCCTTTACGTTCACAGTGGAACATAGGGTTTCAACAGAACATTTCTATTTCGTCCAGTTCTCTGAAATTACATTCGATCAGCTACACAATTGCCTATAAGCTGTCATCTCATCCACATCGTCAACCTCAGCCCAACTCATCGTTTCCCATTCGGGTTTTAACTAGAGCGATAGCCTAATGAGTGATGTCCATCAAGGGTCTTCATAAGGCGTCTGATCAATTTCCATCTATTTCGGAATAATTGTTGGGTATAAGTTTCTTATTTAGTTCATTCCAAGAGTTCCGTGCTTCTCATGTTTTCTGGTGACGACCTAACGGATAAATGAACCTCTTGAAGTTAAGAAAATTTCTAAAAAATTTAGTCGATATTTACTCTAGTGACAATAAATTATTAGAAAAGTTCTAGTTCACTCAACAATACATATTATTGTAATTAGTATTTCCTTGGATTTCGAGTGGAACGCAAAGCTTCAACAACACGTCTCCACTATGTTCTATTTTCCACCGTCCTCTTCATTTGGTTAGCCATACGATTGCCCATAATCTCTCCTCTCCTCCTCGCACGATCTCCTCCATGTCAACCTCATATCGACGACCCACTCTTTATTTCGCATTGGGATTCCACTCGATTCCACACACCATATCATTGAACGGTCTCCCTAAAGTGTCCCCGATCTACCTTCGTTTTCTCCTACATATTCGTTGAGCGATCAGCTCTTCGTTGGTCTGTTGGCCAGCCAAATTTTCTTGTTGCTGATTCTTTTTTCCGGCTGGCTGGCGATTTGATCTTCACAATATAGAACCAGTCAGCGAAGAGGGCAGCTGTTGACAAAAGTCTGTAACTTGTTAAAAATGCTTTTCATGAGACGCAGTGCAAGTTTCTGGCCAGTATAGAAACGCAGCGAATGACTGACTGAAAATCTGAATCTTGTTCTTTATGCTGGTTGAGTAAGTCCAGAAGATGTACTCGTCGCTAAATTATTGTTATGGACTGGTCGAGAAACTAATAGTCCTGACGCAAGAAGGCGGAAATCAGAAGACCACTAGGTTTGCGATGATACTTCTATTGTCCAAACACAAGGAGACGAAAATAAAATGGTCTCACACCAAAGTGGTAAGTAAGTAAAGTAAAGTAATTCACACAAATTGTGTGAGCGAAATATATATGACAAGGGTGTGAACAATCATTAGACAGTCTTAACATGATTGGCTAATTATAATGAAGTATCGATCCACATATACATAGCGAAATATAACAGACATGTCAACAATCAACATATATGGATATATGTCATCAAGCAACGGACTGTCAACAACACTCATATTATATATAATAATATAAGGAGAATACACATTATTAAAGGAGACAAGTTTATACAAGTGAAATGGTCACAGACTAAGCGAGCAAACAGAAAGAGAGACCAACATACACACACACATAAATAAATATATGTGGATACATATCAACTTCCAAACTGGTTTCAGGTTAATTAAAGGCGTATCTCGCCTTTTCGATTCTGTCTGGTTTTGACATCTTCATCCGTTCCGCTGGCCTGTGTTTGAAACCATGCTTCGTTGATAGGTGAAGGGAAGTAACCTTTGTCAAATCTCTCCCGTGGATAGTGATTGGTGCTGGTTGTTGTTTGGTTATCTTCACCACCCCCATCTTCTCTATGTTCACCTGTCGTCCTATCTTCGCTGTCTGACAGCCTCTTCTGCCAGTTTGTTGGTTTTCGCCTGCAAGTCTCCAAGTTCGTGTGATATTAGACATGAATAGTCCGCGAAATCCAAAGTCTTCTTATCGGTTAAACGTATTCCTTTCTTCTCAATTTTCAGTCTGACGCATAATTCAGTTCCTCACAATTTTATTGGATTGGAAACACATTGTCTAAACAATTGTCATAACAAAGAAACCTTTGCATTCCAAGTCAAACATAGGGCTTTAAGCTTGAGCTCCATTGAAGTCTCACAAGCGGTGGCGTTTATTTATTCCTTACAGGGCGAGGTTGCTAGTCCGCCGCACAACCAACCTTCCTTCTTTACCGATCTTGCCTTGTTGATTCAGCAAGGTTGAGGAGTGCGTCGGCCGTCGGTCGGACCCCGTACCACGTGTGGTATGGATGGTGAGTATTCTACCACTGAACCAATCAAGTCTGACGTCCCCCCCCACACACACACACACAAAATATGTGACAATAACAAAAATAAACACACAAAAACTTACATTAAACAAACCAATATCAATTGGAGTTTTACAGGTGGCAAGATATTCTAATAATGGATCAGTGAAATAAATATTCGACTGAATTTGAGACAGTGGACCAGTTGAAGATTGGCTTGCATTGATTAATGACTGCGAGGTGGCATCATTCGATGATATGATAAAGCAGAAAACTTCAATTAATGTGCCTAACACATTAGACGATGGTGCTAATGATCCTGGTTTAGTTTCACGATTTATTAATAACTGATCATAAGGCATACGCATTGACCATTCAGTTATTGCTTGAATTAGACCTAGGAAAAACTATATGCACAAAAAAAAAAAAAAAAACAGTACACATACATGTATACATATACAGAAATGCATACTTAGCAAAAATTTATAAGGAAGCAAATCAAACGATTGTCGGTATCCTGCATACTATGTGTGCTAAGGCTAATTCCACAAAATGACGTTATACAGACCAATTAGAATTTGTACACATATCTTCACATCATTGCACAGCTGAGTAGCGAAACGGATAATCCTGGTTAAATCAAACAAAGAGGATTTGGATCCAGGTACTTCCAACGTTACAAAGCCAGCTCAGCTACTGGAACCTGATCCTACTTCTTTCAGTTTGTAATAAATAAAACGCACCTGTAAGTCAGTGTCACAGGAGAAAAACTGTCTTTTTGCCTGACTTGTTGGACTCTGGTATTCACGAATTCTCATAGGAACTCCAGGTGAACTCCCTGCATAGAGTAGGTTGCTAGGGTACATCTGACTAACTATCAACTATTGATTTGCATGGATTTGATTGGTTACGCACTTGATTACGGGTTGACGTCAACTAGAGAACCACTGGAAAATCAGTAGGTAGTAATCAATAGCTGTTTCGTCCTAGTTTGGAACTCTTCATCGGTGGGCACCCAATGGGGTTTCAAAAGAAAACAAGTTACTAAACAATCTCAGATAACAGATTATTTTGCGTTATAGCGTAAATGTGAATTTTTTATTTCTTTTTATTTATAATGAATACTATACGTATCTAATTGGCGGATGGTGACTAGCAGTGAAATCCAGGATAACGCGTATTTCGTCCTACTTGAGACTCGTCATCTGGATATGCCTGCATTCCACAGTGAGTGATGATTTTCCCACCGAGGCTCGAACCCAGTGCCCACAGTTTCAAACACCAGCCAAAGCGTTATCCACTAGACCACTTGGTTTAAGAGAGCCACCTCTTGTGCAACGGGTCATATTAATTATTTGATTGAATTTGAGATTTTTCCGTCTATTGATTGGACCGAAGTGCTCAGTCTTAGGTTGACATGTCTGCTTCTAATTACATGCCCAGACATCATCGAAGCATCTGCACAAAAAGCCGATATGTCAACCTGAGATCGAGCACTTCGATCCAATCAATCGACGGGAAAATCTAAAATTCAATTAAATAACTATACGTATCTGTTCATTCTGGTGAAAAAGTTGAATTTACAAAAATTTAGTTATTAGTAAGTCAATATAGATCACTATACAATCTATATAGATTGATCAATAACAGGTAACTGATACAATGCGTCTAGTTCTTAGTTTCAGTGCAGACTGAACTCCATGAGTCGAGTTTTTCATATGGTCGATCACCAAGCCAGATGGCTCTCCAAAGTGGTGCACACTAGATTGATGTTAAATGGTTAGAGGTAGTCACAAGGAGGCCATTGATCTAGGTTTGGTGTACGTTGACACACATTACAGCCAGGAGCATCTTGTAATCCAGAAGGAACTCATATCCTCTCTGAGATTCAAAGCTCTCCTAAACAGAATCGAGATGAAAGACAGCCGACTGATAACAAGAGATGATTAACTTCACAAACGAGAATATTTTACAGACATAAGATTAATTTAATTTGTACTTTCATACGACACTTTAGAAAAAATTCTGAGTCCTTACATAAATACCACAAATTGGCTGTTGAACAGGCAATAGAAAGTGGTTTAAGGTACACATATCTTAATTTTGAGAAATCGCCATATGAACTAAAAATGATTTGATTACGTTTAATTGTTAGATTACGTCGCGTACTAACATCAGTGAGAGAAACACATTGACGACCAAGGAGCAAGTGACTGCTGTTGGGACTCTTCAACAGTGCACACCCACACGTCACTAGGCATCAAAAACCCGGGAACTTCTGATTACGAGACCAAGCTTGATTGGGTTGAAATTCAATGACCCACTTTATCAGTTCATGATATAGCGCTACCCTTACCAGTAGCATCGGTGAGCATCCATTTCACCGTGATATGATGAGGCCCACTTGGTCACAATTTCTCATGCCTACAAAGCTTCACAAACATCCAACCAGTAGTCGCCAATGAGCTTGGATTGATATTCAGATTATCACGAATTGACGAAGTCGGAATTCACACAGGTCAATGAACAAAATAGTCCGAGTGGGTGAATGGTCGACGACACACTTTGGTCGCGTAACCTGACGGTCCCAGAGGTTCGATTGGCAGTGGTGTGGTAGATGCGCAATGCCAAAGAGTCCCAAAATAGAAAGAAATAATTACCCAGTGCTCCCCAGTTTTCACAGATCTCTCCAACTGTGGGTGTTGGTTCGTGAAGAAATCTAACAATTGAAACAAATCGTATTATCTGAATTTTATTACCATTGTGGAGAGAAATAATTAAAAAAAAGACTCATATAAGCCATTTTACACAACTTACCCTTTTATCGACTGCTGTCATATTGTCCAGGTTTGTATTATCCCATGTAGTGAACAATGTCCAAGCAAGTGACTACACACACACACATGTGTGTGTGTACATAGGAAAAGATGAAAACAAAAAAATAAAGCAGAAACAATTTAAATTACACAGTTAAGAAGTGTTACTGAATAAGAAATACAGTCCAATTAGAATGGAAAAATTGTCAATAGAAAATGTGTTGCAACACTGCACAGAAATGCAGCTTCAAGGAGTTGAGGTAGTGTTTTCGTAGATGAAGGCGATGATTCGCGGCTTGACATGAGCATGACATGTCTCCAAGCCATCTCAAATGATGTTGCTTCACATGACCATTGGTTGATTTCCCCCCCCCTCACTTATCACACTTTGCACCAACCAAATCTCATTCATACTAACCTGACAGGCTAAATAGAAGTCGGATACACACCTCATATAACTATAGTCGACACACACAAACATGCAGACTACTAATTGATATAATCAGTTGGAAACTATTAATCCTGATATCAGAGACGTTAAGTATGTAATTTTTAGTGATGTAAATATAAAATGAATGTTTAACCTACTTGGAAGCTAAACGCTTATAATCGGTGTATCGAAACCGGATGAACTGAGTGACACATTTTTCTATCGGACAACTGACCAACTTCATACAGAGACAGGTGACTTATAGAATAATCACAGTAAGTGTTCGCCGGACTGAATAAGATAACATCAATTATTTTTCATGACTTTTTCTTCTGAGTTGAAATTTCTGTAGCCTTTTGAACGGATTTTTGGGGCAGGGAAGCTAGCCCTACGCCCAACCCTTTCTCCTTACCCAGGCTTACGACCAGCTAGAAAACTAGCAAGCTAGTAAACTCAGGCAATAAACCAACAGGCGAGAGCCGATTGCTCAATAAGTATGTAGGAGAAAATGGAGATGGGTCGGGCATGTGGAGATGTGTTGTTGAAGCCTTACATTCCACTGGGAACCCAAGGGAACAATAATAATAATAATAACATTATTATTTTTCATCATTAAGAAAGTACCGGAGCCGCATGAAAAAGTCATAAAACGCTTAATTAACACGTAGGATGCTATTTTGAAACGAATATCTTTACATACAGCTACTGAAAGGAAAGGAGACTTTCATCATCAGATGCCTTCGCTCCATCCTGAAGATCAGATGGCCAAAAATCAATAAGCAAGAATGAAGTCTTGGAATGAACTAGCCAGCAACCTATCGTCCAACAAGTATGCAGAAGGAAATGGAGTAATTTCAAGCACCAGCCAGTGCCTGAATGGACAACGACGAGCTGTGCGTCAGTTCGATGGTGACATGGAGGAGAACATGTTAGGAGGTAATGAAAACTTATGGGTAATTGTGGAATCAGCCAAAAAGAATTTCAAAGAACAGGATGAAGTGATGTGTTCCACTTGGAACCTAAGGATATAACAATAATCATAATAGCTTAGGCGTGATACTAGCATACCCTTGAGTTCTCAAGATACCTCACGTAGGGAACTTCCCATCACAGTAAAAAATTTTATAATAAAATATGTATGATATTTTTCACTCCCAGTATAAATAATCAGTAAAGTGAAAGAATAATATTGCCCACTGATATTTCCCACCACGGCAAAGTTAAACTTTAAGCACCACTAAGTACCAATCAGTAAATGACCTCGAACGTACCAATCTTGTGAAGGCGGCATTTTCGTGTGTATGGAATACACATATTTATGAAATAATGCATAAAAACTGTGGAAAAAGGCGAAGTTCAACAACAGTGTCCCAGCAGTGCGAACGCCCCAATGACCATCTTGAACGCATGCCAATCGGTGGCTCCCAGTGTTAGAGTATCAGCAGAGTATAATTCCACTGTCTGTAAAATTTATTACGATAAAGTCTCATAGTGTAATACAGAAATAAATTGTGCTCGAAACCTCATCCGTAAATATGACTGGATAACCTTGTGAAACTTTATCAAAATACATTTTACTCACAATGGAATTATACTCTGTAACAGTGCACAAGTTCTATTCTTCTATCAACAGAGTAATTTAGCCACATTCTATGCATGTAATTATTTAGGTCTTCTAACCCTAACAATAACCCTAATCTTTCCTGAACCTATCGGTAACTAAGTGTAATCCGACTCGAGACAACCCTAATGTCGCCCTTATTAGGTTAACCTAACCCTAACTTGTCCTTGGTTTCGATGAGCATATATTTTATTGATGATGATGACAACATTATTTGCCCGGTTTCACTGACTCGCTCAATGAACCTTTCAAGGTCATTTTATTTGTCCGAGGCACTTTAATAGCACACGTCACTGGTGCTTAAAGTTTAACTTGACCCCCCTCCACGCCTTAAAGGAATGCTAACAGTTAAAGTTTAAAAATAAAACTTACCAATAGTATTAAGCAGGCTAATTTCACATCACGAGATGATATAATAGAACAATAATCAGCAAACATAAGAACCATATCCACGGCAACAATGGCTACAATTCTATTCTGGAAACGCATCATTCCCAGCAGGATTATAACAGAATCATGAAATAAACTGTCAAATGCTGTAGAACTGCTACTACTGGTATTACTGAGTGTAGTAGTTGTAGTAGATGATTTATGCTCAGATCCAAGTGAATTCATAATTTCAATGACACAGTAGATTGATAATCCTGTAATAGCTAAACATCGTACTTCTGCACTCGGATCCAATAGAACAGCTTGTGTTAACAGTTGAACCAGTTGTGACTGAAATATAGGCAGGAAGAGAGAATACGTCAATTATCTCGCAAAAAACAGACAAAAACACATTGTAGACAAATGCTGCAAGAAAAAAAATACCTGACGTAGAAAATTATATGGCTATTGAAAACTATTCAAACATATAGTGAATAATTTTTTTGATGTGGTTGTGTTCTCTGTGCTGGACAGTTAATTTGCAAAGCTTTCATCGCCCTACTACTAGGCGACATCTCCAGCGCATACTTCAATTCATTTGAAGTGAGCTTTCAGATTTCTCCACGAGTTTATTAATCATCTCTAGTAGTGGGTGACCTTGGACGTGATTGATTGTTGTTTTTGTGTGTTTTCACACCTTCTGTCTGTCTGTCTGTTTTCGACATAGAACTTTGCACAAATGTGCGGAAGTTCAAGTCACCACATTCCGTGTAGGTTACTTGTGTTGGAACTGATTGTTTCTTTGGCTTGAACTTTGACCGTTTTTGTGTGAGATTTCCTTCTCAGCACTTGGTAAATTTTGTCTATCTCGATGTGTCTATTGATTGATGATTCACTGGAATGCGTCGGTGGCGCAGCAGTTAGGATTCTCGCCGACCATGCACATGGTCCGGGGTTAAATCCCCTCCCGACACACACCTGATATCAATGATCGGTCTGCGAAATTCGGGCTACCCATATCACATTATTGAAAATTTGCATTCCAGTGAATCGGCGGTGAATTCATTCACTTAGCTGTACAATCGCGATTATATATATATATATATATATATATATATATATATACCTTTTGTATGAGTGTGTACATTAGGTTTGTCCGATAAGAATAAAAATACGTTAGGGTTATTGTTGTCAAAACATTTCAAAAATATGATGAGTAGTCAAACTGTAAATTAGGGGTAGGGTGGGTGAAGATTGGTAAGAGGGTTGAGGTGGTGTGTTGTCAAAATACATATTGACACATGTAAGAGGTTGAAAAAGCGCAATACGGTTACATAATAAGACGAGTAGTTTAATGAGTGAGTTGTGACTAGGATCAACATAGAAACAAGGGAAAATATGAAATTATGTAAGTTATAAAAATTAAAAATGTTATAAGTAGTTAGAAAAAAAGCACACAAACATCAGGTCTGTAAAAGTCAATAGGGTTGTTACCGTGATAGTAGAAGTGCTTGGATGATTTTCTTTTGTATAGCATAACTCTGATTTCTCCAACTTAATGACTAAGATTTCAAAAATACAAAGGAGACGAAAACGTATCGCCTTTGGTAGGTTGTTCTTTACTTTGTAGATGTTATAGGCTGAACTTAATTTACACATACATACATACATACAAAAATAAGTATATACATTTGTGATTGTAGAGCTAAGTGAACGAATTTGCCTCTGAAAAGAGACTCATCACTGAACTACGCGTTTTGTGTTAAGATATATTTCATCTAGCCTCTTTTACTACTGTGGCCTTAGTGTCAGCTCATGATGAAATCCTCCATGCAATCAAACGAAATCCCCACAAAACCAATACTTGAGAATTAATCTCATGCTCACCAGTGACTGGCCCTACTCAGGTAGTCAACCTGGGATTCTAGCTGGGAAGTCGTGACCAGTAGGGGGTGAGGCAGGTTGAAGCTGAGGCAGCAACTCATCGAAGAAGACATTGCAAGATGGTCGCGCTATGTCACAAATTGGTAGAAGTTAGAATTCATAGGCAATTGGATCGGGTCCCAGTGGTTCAATGATCTACGGGCTAGCTCGCCATGTAACCAGTAAATCCTGGGTTCGAACCCCGGTGGAGTCCCAAACAAGGAAGAAACAGCTGTCCAGTACTCCCAGGTTTTACAGTGGTTCTCTAAACGATGTCAGCTCATGATGAAATCCTGCACACAATCAAATCTTGTTTCCTTGAGCATTTGTGTAATAAACTCCATGTATTCTTTTTTTATTATTTTGATGTTTTTTAGCCAAATTTCAATCCCTTCCAATCTCTGGTTTTATATTAATTACTTTTAAATGAATATTCATGGATTAACTGAACACATGCCAACCACCTTGATTACGTAGGATGATTCTCAACTCATCTAAACATCGTTATTACTCATACACACTTATATTTTTTTTTTGTTAGGAACAACCTCTGAGCCCTGTCGTCACTTAACATTGTGTATATATATGAACGACAATGCTGCATGCCAAGTAATCCACAACGGAAAACTTACTGAAGCCTTCGAAGTGAGGATGGGAGTGAGGCAAAGCTGTCTACTATCACCAATGATCTTCCTGATTGCAATTGATTGGATAATGCAACAGACAACGGCAACCAACGAGGGAACAGGCATAAAATGGACTCACACAAAAGACTTGGAGGATCTGGATTTCGCCGATGATATATGTCTGATTTCCCATAAACTGGAAGATATGCAAGATATGCATCTGCACCAACCACTGAGAACGATTTTTAGCCGTATCACCAATTGTCTCCAGTTTTCATTAGTGTTTACCATCCCGAGTACTCCAATCAGTCAGGAAGTCTACACCTCCCTATGTGGCTGGCTGAAACTAACTGTTGTGGATTTCATTGACTGGTGCCAAGTCTTTGTTTGACCGCCGCTAGCCTTTTTCCAGCCTGTCCCTACATCCGCTAACATTGCCCGTCTAGAAAGGCGATGACTAGGCATCCGTAACACATATTCTAACCATCTCAATCGGTGTAGCTACTTCACAACCTTATAGATTGATTTACCCTACCTCCTTACCTAGCACTCGATCGATACCACACTTCAATATTGCTCACCCTATTATACCATTTCACACGGGAAGTAGAACGCAGGCACCCATGATCGAAAACAGCTAATCTTTTCATGTCTTTCCCTTTCAATGACCAGTTCTCACAGCTATAAAGGAGGACGGAGAGGACTGATGAGCAGTACACACGCCCTTTGATCGATAGCCAGCCGGATATCACGTCTGCGCCACAGAGACGGCGTAAACTGGCATATGTGAAGCTAGCTTTCCGTATCCGTGATGAGATTTCATCGGCGATCAACCCGTTGGCACTGGCTAATGGTACTTTCCAAATAAGTGAAGTGGTCAACACGCTCTACCAACCACTTCACTCCCTATCTTTAAGCCAGCTAGGAGTCAATGTAGTCCACAGTCCAGTCGTGTAGTATCATCTTGCATTTGGCAGGAGCGAATCGTATGCCAAACATTCGAAGATTGCTACTGCATTTTGACAGCGTTTTCACCCAGAAGGGAGGACTATATCATTTGCATATTCTAAGTCAATAAGATTATTCCCTGGTAACAAGTCAATCCTGAGTCTCTGAAGTTAGCTAGGGTTAATTCCATTAGTATGATGAAATTGAATAGAAATGGGGATAGTTGGCAGTGAATGAGTAATAACAATGATTAATTAATCCCAAAACTGAAAACTTATTTAAGAAGAAGTTGTACCGCACGCGCGCGCTTTTCGACTATTACGCTACATTTTGCTCATTAATAAAAACTCTTATTACTGTAAAAATTTATGCAAAGAGTTTGCGGAAATTATCACAATTATTAACCTTTCGAACACTGAATCCAAAAAATACAATCTTATTGACAGATAATACACATAACTCACTGTTTGGATTTGTGGAATTTTTAAACATAAACACATCTATAATTGTATATATTGTTGGATTTATATGTTCAAGTTGCTCCAAGTCAGTGAGTTTATGGTTAAGATATCATTTTAGTTAACTGTACTGAACTATATTGCATGTTGTCTTATTGTATAGTTGTCGTCGCTTTTTGCCCTTTTTTCTGTGAACTGTTTCCTTTGTTGATGTTGTTCTCATTGTTTGTCCGTTATTTTCTGATTTTGAGGGGAGCAACCCAAAAAGTTGCTTCTCTCTAAACTTTTACTTAATGTAATCATTCTTTTCTCAGGCGTGAGGCTAGCAACCCCACCCTGTAAACAAAAATTGCTAAAGAAACTTCAGTATGATGAACCTCCTTGCACCAAAAGAAAAAGTCTGTGTAGGAACATGGAACGTCCGAACTATGTACGAGACTGGAAAGCTGCCCAGATCGCCAACGAGATGAAAAGATACGGAATACAAGTGCTGGGAATATGTGAGAGCAGATGGAATGGGAGTGGACTCACCAAATTGTCAACAGGTGAGTCAGTGATCTACTCCGGTCACCCAGAAGATAACCACACGCACACCGAGGGCGTGGCTATCATGATGTCACCAACGGCAACGAAAGCCCTGATACAATGGGAGGCGATTTCGTCCAGGATAATGACCGCCAGGTTCAACTCCAAAGGAAGGAAAGTGTCAATCATACAATGTTATGCACCCACAAACAACGCAGACCTCGAGAAGAAAGAAGAATTCTACAGGCAACTACAGGCAACAATGGACAATACTCCAGCTGGCGACATGAAAATACTAATGGGAGACATGAACGCCAAACTGGGACCAGACAATACGGGAAGGGAACTCATCATGGGTAGAGAAGCTCTAGGAGAAATGAATGAAAACGGAGAACTCTTCGCCGACTTCTGCGCCTTCAACGAACTGGTGATTGGTGGCAGTGTATACAAGCACAAAGATATCCACAAGGCTACATGGGTGTCACCAGACGGGCAAACCAAAAACCAAATCGACTTCATCTCAATCTCAAGGAAGTGGAGGCGCAGCCTACTGGACACAAAAGCAAGAAGAGGAGCAGACGTTGGCTCAGACCACTATCTCGTACAAGGGACAATCCAAATCAAATTAAAAGCTTTCAGGGAATCAGGAGCTGCAGATAGACCACAAGCCAAGTTCAACACTCAAAAGCTGAAGGACCAGGCTACAAAGGACATCTTCATTGCAAGCATAAAGGACAAAGCCGAGACACAAATCAACACTAGCGAAGAGGTCGGCGTTGAAAAGCACTGGAACAACTTGAAAACGGTGTGGAGCCAAACCTGCATAGAAATTCTAGGCAGAAAAAAGAGACAGGACAAACAGTGGCTCACT